CAGTGGCGGAGAAATGGGTTTCTGTTTTCCAATGGAGTGCTTCACCCTACATAATATACCATAATGACGTCCAGAGCATCCTCCTGCCCTCCTGCGAAGCTCTATTAAGAAATATTTGAACATTTCTGGGTCACTGAGGAGAGGGGAAACAGCAAATTGATTTCACTGACATTGGAAGACGACAGGTTAAGAGAGTCTTTCACATTTGCTGATTCAAGCACAGAATGAGAAGCCAAACACTGCAGCAATGGTGTTGGTAAAAGCAGGGATCTGAGAATCAAGGTAATTAGATTGATTGGGTTTGGGCTGATTGCCCCCTAATAAAACTGGAGGCCTTTGTTTACCTCAAATACCCCCTCCTGTGCGCCCCTGCTTCCTCAAAGATCACACAGGCAAACACTGACATCAATCTCCATTCTAAACCAAATGTTGTCTACACAATTATGCCACATGGCAGAGGGTTTTTCCTGCATAATAAAGGTCAAGTTTGTTTACATTACCCACCCTCAGTTGAGATGCTGTCTGGGCTTTACTGATATACATAAATCTGGAGATGCTCTTTGGAGAATTTGGAAGCATCTGGATGTCTAAGCAGCAATGTAACAACCCAAAATGGACTGATTAAAACAAACTGCACTATTACAACCCCCTCTTAAACCTAAGTGAAATGCCTTGGCTGAAATGTAGCAGCTGCAATGCTATTTCGTAGCCAAACAGTGAGCACCATGGGTTACATGCTTACTACTGCAACCCCTTGTGAAACTGAATTAACAGCATGTAGAGTCATTTACAGCTGTGAAATGTGGTGGTATGTCCTGCAGTGCTGGTAATGGACTGAGCAGAGTCTACGGTGGGCCATTGGAGGCTCTTCTGTTGCAGCTGTAATGGCAACTACTGTATCTGCGACTGTGACTTCGACATGTGAACAGAACAGAATAACTATGTATAAGGTAAATGTACTTAAATAATGCCACCATGTACCAAATCACCAGGAGATCCTTGCACCATGAGAGGTCGTGCCTACTGTATTTGACAAAAGAGACCCCCCCTCACCTGCCCAACCTCGCCGATCCCTCCTGAGCCGTCGATCCGGGGACGCTTGCACTCAGCCCCGGTGGAGTCCACCAGAGCGGCCGCTGTCTGTCCGTCGGGCTCCGGGTCTCCGCGCTTCATGCCCCGGACAGCCGCAGGAGCGCCGCCGGCGTTGGGATGCACCCCGGCCATGGTGTCCAGCTCTCTATCCCGGTCCATGAGACCCCGGGACACAGGCAGCATGATGGATGCAACGTCGGTCGACATTAACATTTAAAAATCTTCTTTTGTCCCCTGTCTTGAGCTAAACTGGGGTGGAAATAGACTACCAACTCCTGTGCACCTTTGTGCTTAAAGCCAGCCTGTGGACGATTCCCCTCTTTTAATGCTGCAAAGAAGCCTTCACTGTGTTTGGTACTGGGCCTTTGTATGAGCCCCCCTGAAGAGTTGATGTATCTGGAAATGTTTTGGCTCCCTGGCTTAAGAAATGTAACCTAACCACCGCGGTTGTTGAAAAATCAAATAGCTCATAAACGCTCCCTTTACCTTACAAAACACAGCAGCTCAGATCACCAAAATGTCCCCTGAAACACACGCAGGTTTGTCGGGTTAATTTCCAGCTATGTAGCCCCTGTTTGCTGACCGTGTATTTATTTACTGCGGGGCTGCCTAAGAGGCCTACGTTATTTCAGATCATAACAAACCAATTAAATAAACACCGATCACAACAATGGCTCCTGAGCATAACCTACCGCCCAATTCCCATTTGCCCTCGTTTTGTTCTCTCTGCGAGGAGCCGTCTGTCTTGTTTTAAGAGCACAACATCAACATCCTACCGCAACCTCAAGACGAAAAGCCCCTCAACATGTCTTCCCTGTCGCCTTTTTTTCCTCCCTGTCTATTAGCCACAGAGCAGAGGTTCACTGAAAGTCAATCCGCGTCAGGAGCTCTCTCTTCCCCCCATGTTAGTCCGCAAGTCTGCGTTAAAACAAAACACGATTTCTGCCCCCCTTTAAAAAAACAACAAGCAAACGGACGGAGGGGCTGCGGTGTTTCCTTCCCTCCTCTCTCTCTCTCTCGCCTATACTTTTCTTTCCTCTCTCCGTTTTCCCGGTGTGATCTTGTAGCGTGTGTTACAGAAAGGAAATTGTCCTCCCTCCCTCCCTCCTCCTCCTACTCTCTTGGTGTAGTCATTCCCCTCCTCCTATCTTCCGCTCTCCCTTTGAACGCTGAGCCAGGCAGCCATGCAGCCTGCAGAATACACGCAGTGTGCCGCAGTGCTTCCATACATTTCACCGAGGGGAGGTGTGTGTATGTATCTGTGTCTTATGGCTCCACAGAGACTACCACGCTCCTACAGCACAAACCCCAACCTTTAAATCGAGCCTTCATTTTGCGCGTTACATCTACCGGTGCACAGTTTAGAAAAATGTATTTTCAATACAGGCCGCACTGAGTGTGACCTCTTTTTGAGTCCTGTTTTAAATGTTTGATTTTCCTGTTTAATCTACATTACCAATACCAGCTCTACAGTATTTCACTTCTAACTCATTACACAACCAAGGCCAAGGTCTTCACACTCGCCCAGCTGTGAGTCATGCAGCATGGAGTGCCTTATGTTCCTCTGGCATTTTTATTGCTTGGATGACACCCAGTGGTCAAAGGCTACCATGAGAGGCAAATACTTCAAAGGCAATTTGCTGTAGCAAATTACAGCCTATTACAAGCAAAAGCCGATTTCAAAAGTCTCCCTCTGACTTGCAGGGCTTTAAATGAGTGAGCTCCCCACTGCTGTACATGCTCCAATGATGGTTATTCAACTGTTTCTAAATGACAAAAAAACCCTACTTTTAACTACTTTGACATAGTTACCTTAAAACAATAGTTTCTAAATTTTTAGAAAAAAAAGTTCTCTTGCTGAGAATTGGCTGAGAAGATCAATACATCTCTCATACAGTGGAGAGCACATGCAGGTATAGGGAGTATACCCACCACCTCTGGCCGTTAACAGTATACTCATCTATAAGCCAAAAAGCCATTTGAGTAGCCTATATCCACTTTCTCCTCAGTAACCTACCCAGTGGTGTAGTGGTAGCTGATAAGGTGGGTGTACTACTGGGTAGATAGGTAGGTCACCAAGATGGAAGTGGGCACACTGTACCATATAGTCCAAAGGCGTTTTGGCTGATTGGTGGGTATACTGTAAATGGCCAGGAAAATAGGTGGGTATAATCCATATAGCCTACTCGTGTATACCCTCCACTACATCACTGCTCTCATGTTGATCTGTGAAATAGGAAGATATAGCCAGGAGATAATTACCTTAGCTTAGCATTATGACTGGACACAAGGGGAGACAGCTAGCCAGGTTTGTCCAAAATTGAAAAAATCCACTTACCAGCACCTCTAAAGTGTAAAAAAATGACAAGTTGTGGTTTAGTGGCGCTGTGTGCGGGACTACTTCTTGGCCAGGAGCTGTGGCGACTTCAAATTTTCACTGCTTGCCACCCTGTAAATCACCGAAACCACAACTTGTGCTTTAAACACATTGGTTTTTATACAGATGAAAGAAGATACACATGCAAATTAACCAGCTTTAGAGGTGCTGGTGCTGATAACCCCAAGCCAGGCTAGCTTTTTCCCAGTTTTCAGTCTTCATGCTAAGCTATGCTAACTGGCTATTATTTAGAGCCTTAAGGGGCCAGTATACTCCATCAGAACTGCTTGTCATGGGGTTGAATATCTTCAGAAACCCTAACCTCTCCGATATAACAGTTGAGGGGTTCTTTGTTTGACCCTAGGAGGTTAAAAAGAGGAGAAGTCACGTCATATTGCATTGTATTATTGGGGTACAACACATACACAGAAAATTCTGGTCTGCATTTTTTGAACATCTCAATATCTGGCACACTATCATAGAACAATGGGATGTTTCTTTCACTGAGGCGTCCACAGTCCGAAATATATTTAGAAAGATATAAGTAAGAATTATGATTTTGCAATTACTTTTCAGTAATTGTATAATAACCTACGAAAAAGAAATGCTTTCTATATAAAAATGTTCTTGTATATCAGCCGCCATCAATTTAAATGTACCCAAAAGGTTCTGTCAGGTCAAGCAAATCCATGAAAGCTAAAAAGAGCACACCTGAGGAGCACCTTTATTCATTGCGACTCCAGGTACATTGCATGTGTCTGCCCCATAGTTCCCATGGGCTCACACTGTGTCCCAACCTCTTTTAAATAGCCTTGGTTTGACCATTTCTATAACTTTCCAAAACTCTCATGCCATGATTGGCCAGCTGTGTGGAGGTGAGAAAGGAGCCAGGGTTTGAACATTTTTCATTTGTTACACAACTTTTTCTGTCACTTTTCATGTAAACAAGAGTGCAACACAATGAATGCTTTCCAGTAAAGACTGTCTGAAAATGTGCACCATCATCCCCACATTTAAAAGATGCGACGTTTAGCCGTCCTCTACGACCACTGGGTTTTCACCCCTCAAACAAGTTTTGATCATGCAGGACCTTATATTTACTGAACAGAAATGAGAACAGTATCAGTATCATCTAACTCTCAGCAAGAAAGTGAATAAGTGTATAACTTCAAATGTCAAACTATTTCTTTAATTCTGTTAATGTTTTTATGTGTTTGTATGTTTGGGTTTCTGCTTGTGTGTATGCATACATGTGAGTTTCTTATAACCGTTTGTACATTTTGCAGATTTAAAATCAGACAGACTCTTTGGGTAATGTGCACTATAAATAAACTACAGTTGAAGTTGCTGTACGCATGGCTGGATTACCAACCAGGCAAAGTGGGCAACTGCCTCAGAGCACCAAAAGCCCCTACTTCACTGTACTGTGTGGCTGGCAAGGGGTCTGTGGCAATTTGATTAACTGTAAATTTAACTGGGGGAAAAAGTCTAAAGCACACCTAAAGATGTCATCTCACAGAGAGACCCAATGTGTTTACACAGTGTGTAATCCTTGTATTTAATGAAATAACCGCACACTGCAGCAAATCCTCTGTCTCAGGGGCCCCTCTGGCCATGTCTGAGCGATCAAACTTGGGTGGAAATATGCTGAAGATCCCTTTCGGACGTCATCCCCCTACTGATGTGTTGCAGCTCTCTAATGGAACACTGGTTACATGCAAAACCTCCAGTTATCTCAAACATTTATTGCTGTATGTTCCACATGAAGGGCAGCAAAGCAAGTCAGTCTGAGTCTCAACCATGCTCAGTCCACAAGAGCCAAGCGGTCATGTAAACAATGCTGCCTCCCACTTTTTCATGGAGTGCCACTTCCTGCTTTAAAACCTAGTGGAACAAACACACACGCGCACACACACACACGCGCACACACACGCGCACATACACGCACACACACATGCACACACACACACGCACACACTCGAGTCCTTTAAGAGCTTTTATTGGTGGTTGAACATGTGATCTCTGAGGCCTGAAAAGGAGAACAAAAGAGGAGATATGTCAGTATGGAAAAGTAACATTGGTGTATTGTTACATGGGCTAAACACATTAAGTGCTGTTTACCAGATCATCATCATCTCAACCAACTTCAAACGTCTCCCATGTCGTAACTGGAAAACAGGAAATGGATCAGCCTTGATAAATAATTCAAAACTCTCCTCATTACTAAAACATTGTCCTGCTGTCATATGGAAGTGCAGCTACTACTGGCTCTCAGACTGTGCTCAGTCAGGAGTGTTGTAATGGGGCTCATTCATGGGTGTTTTCATGCGATCCTCCAGAGTTCATAAGGGTGTGGTGGGTGATTTGAGGACAGAGTGCTCATTTTCCTCACCATCACTGGCCAAAGCATCCCTCCACACAGGGCCCATCACGTGGCGAGCAGATTTCAGTTGAACACATGAAGTAAATCTGAGAGGGAGGGCAAAAGTAGAGCAGGAATTGATGTAGTGTCCAGTCTCGAGAGTGTGCAGCGTACTATGACTCGCAGCTGCTGCCAATTGAGATTTGGCCAGAATTTGCAGTTAACAAAATGGCCTCTCCACATGTCCTCGTAATGAATGCTGACTTAAGAGATTTAGAGATACAGCTGTCAATGGTTTCATTTTCCATGGACTATATGCCCATGCTAAATTAAAAAAAAAGAAAAAAAAAGTTTAAAGTGACACTGAGGGGACAGTCGATTTTTTGTTTGTTTTTTTTTTTTAAACACAAAATCGAGACAGGAGTTTAAAGAATAAGATCCAACGCCAACAGTCACTCCAAGATAAGACTTCACTGATTCCCAGGGGGCCAATTCAGAGGCGCTCCAGGCAAACAGCTGCATGTTGTAAAAAATTTTCCCTTGCTGCCGCACATGAAAACAATAGGCAAAGCATGCTTAAAGCAATAGTGAGACATTTTGGGTAATGTGCTTATTCATTTTCTTGCCAAAAGTTATATGGGAAGATGGATACCACACTCCTATCTGTCCATTAAATATGTAGCTTGGGCCAACAGCTAATTAACTAAGCATAGCATAAAGAATGCTTGGCTCCCGCACCAGCACTTCATTACCAAAGCACAGCTTTTCATTTTTACAATTAAACAAACAAGGTATAACAGGTAATTGGTGAGCTTTAGAGGTGCTGGTAGTCAGATTTGTTTTTACCTTTGGACTAAAGATGGACATGAGTACTTTAATAGTACTCACTTTGTAAATCAGCACTCATTAAAGATATAAAGTAATCGCCACCCAACCTCCCACAACTCTCATATGAACATGATTAAATATATTCTTTTACTATTTAACATGGGTAAAATCTTATTTTATGTAGAGCTGTGTGCAGTGTATTGCTTCGCTCAGCACCTCCTTGCCCTGCTGTTGCCGTTTCTCGTTATCATGGGACCAGTGCTGCAAGTATGAGCTCAGCACAGAGGGACAGTCAGTGAGAGGCAGTCCAAACCTAGCGTTATTTAACAGTTATTAATAGGGTTTAACAACAGAGTCGATTTGTTTAAATGTCCATGTGAGTTTGTCGGGATCATTGAACGGCACTATGTTGAATATTAGCCCTTACTGCTGGGTTAGCCTGTGCCAGCTGGGCAGACCTTGAACTGACAAGGAGGAGAGCAGATTGGGACTCCGGACACGATAATTAAGCGCTGCATCTAATCTATGTAATGGCAGCAACAGAAAGTTTGCTGATTTTTTTATATTAACTTTAAATTTATAGTTTAATAGCCTAATTGAAGCCTAGCTCGAAAAATGAATTAAAAATTGTTTTCTGTTGTTGGCCAATTTAGATTCTTATTGAGATACTCTTGTACTCTACAATTATCTAATGCAAGTTCTCGAATATGGGTATTACTTAAGATGTCCATCCCCGCTTTACATGGAGCCAGGCTAGCTGTTCACCCTGTTTCCAGTCTCAGTGCTAAGCTAAAATAACTATCTGCTCGCTGTCGCTTTGTATGTATTCTCCGAATATGATAGTGGTACAGATCCACTCATCTAACTCTCAGTAAGAAAGCAATTCAGTGTATTTTCCAAAATATCAAACTATTCCTATAAATATTGCCATAAATAATTCTTAATGTGATATGCTGATAGAACACCTCAACCTGACTTCTAAATTAAAGTCTGGACACCAAGAAGGAAATACTGCAAGATGCCTCAAAAAATAATGAAAAGAACACAATAAATACAGTTAGATGTTTTTTTTGCCCCCCACTGTTATTCACAAAACTAGAGGGTCTCTGCATATACTTACCTCTTCATTCGGGTCCTTAAACTCCCCATCAGGAAGAAACTGAAAGGTGCTGATGGTGAAGCGGCGGGTCTGAGCCTGGGGAGAGGGCGGTCGAGGATCGTACAGCACAGCCTGCTGCAGGGCTGGGTCCAAGGGGTTGGGACATCTGGGGAGTAACATTAGTAAGTCAATTTGATACCCGGGCAATAGGCATCAAAAATGTACTTTTGATTTTTCTTGTTATCTCCTTCCAGTAAAAAACACTTAAAAAATTATTATTATGTGCAGTCGATCTCTTGTTCCTTCCCGAGTACCTCCCTCCTAAATATTTACTGTAGATGTCTCAGCGTACCCATTGTACAGCAGCAGCCACACAGCCTTTCCGGAGCGCGGGTAGGCCACACAGTAGTGCACCAACAGCACCAAATTGGGGTCCGGGGCGTTGAGAAGACGCACTTCCAGGTAGAGGGGTTTCCCCAGCAGCATTTGCAGGGGCTGGTGATACTGAGGGTAGTAGCTGCTGTACTGGGCATCTAGAACAAAAAAGGAGGTGTGTTGGAATAGGAGGTGGTTATTTCTTGAACCACATTTCACCCACTCAGTGCTAGTTCTCCGACAGTTGATCACAATGTGTGTGAAGCATTCATACAGCGCTGATACAATGAGTACAGTAAGATCTGTTATTTTGATTGTCATCAGCTTCCATCCAACTTGACTGGCATATACTTGTGCACAACAACACAAAATCATAAGGTGTATAAGTAATATTATGCAACGCAGTTGTTAGCATGGAAATGAAGACCATCTACCTTTGGCAATCCTGAGCTGCACTCCAAGCATCCCCTGGGTCTTGACTTCAGGTCCCAGGGTGGGAGTTTTGACCAAGTAACTCACACTTAGAACTGTGCCCGGCAGAAACCTGCACTCTACTAACAACCTGAGAATGAGACAGAAAACATGGTAATGGAAATACACACTAAGCATTTGGCTTTATTTATTTATCTATTTTTGGCATTTTTGTCTTCATTTGATGGACGAATGTGAAAATGGTGAAACAGAATGCAGGGAGGATTCCCTGAGCCGAAATCAAATTATGAACATTGCAATCACATAGTAGACCACTGGCCTAGCTGGTGAGCATAGTGGAGCATTTAGCTACTGAAGAGCCAGATATTTCCATCAGGAGTTGGTAGAGGCTAAGGCCACATCCACATTAATCCATTTTAGAGCACTGTTTTATAATCGTTTCAAAATAAATCTCCATCTTTACGGACATGCCGGAAAACACACATCACATGATCATTCACGTACACTGAGCTTGCACGTTTCACCTGAGTATAAGGTGGGAAACACAGTCATTACAAAGCAAATACGACAACATATCAGAGTAGTAGTAGACACATTATCAAATACCAGAGGAAGCCATGGCAATGGGAAAGGAGTACCGACACGAACAGGATTAAAATCACAAACGGTATGTACACCTTGCTATAATGCTTTGGGGCTTGACATGTAGTGACTTATATGACCCAGTCAAGAGGTGAACTTGGGCTTCTGCGTCATTGTTTCCAAAAGTCTCCAGATCAAAACCCAACTCTGAACTTTTCAAACTAAAACAGGGTCAGCGGCTTTGTCAAAAGGTCTCCCTTTAAGGGATTCCAAAACGCTTAAGTATTGTGGATGCTAGGCGTAAACACAGCAATAGTTGTGAATTTTACAACAAAAATATATTAGTGAGGATGTAGACTAAAATAGAGCTAGAAAGAGTACCTACTGGAATTTGATTCATCATGTGGACACAAACACAACAACATAAATAATAATGTTCCATTGCAGCTGAATGTGTAAATAAGCAACTGTTTGCGAACAAATTTGCCCCCTACACAAGATGATGATGATGTCAATATCTTTATAACTTGTTTCCGCTTCCCCCAAGCGGCCAAAACAGAAGTCATTGCAGGATTAACTGATTTTACTTTGGACTTTAACTAAACTTACAACAGCTTTAACAGTTAAATAAACATATTCAGTATTTGGTCAAAATGAAACCCTTAATCCTCTCTGAACAGGTAACTTTCACTCTAATAATAAATAGCAACATGCTCTGACCTGACAGGAGAATCCCTTGTGATGGTGCCAAAGTTGAGGCTGATCGCCTGAACCTTGTTGATGACCTCCACCATGTAGATCACTGTTTTCCCCGCTGTCTGTCAGGACAGAATCAGACATGCTATTTATTATGTGGACACTTGTAAATACTGAATGGTTCAGGATCTGTGGTTGACTGATGATGAATTAAAGCTGGGGTTGGCAGTTTAATTTTGACGTCACTGGGCAAAAATCCCATCATAAACATATTGTAATTTAAGTGGTCTGAGAGAACACTAGACTCCTGTGCCTCCTTTTGGCTCTGTTTTCAGGCATTGAAAAATCGAGGCTGTGACAGAAAACTCTGGCAAATCACAGGTCATAAGGTGTTCGGGGAAAGCCTGATTCAATGGCAAAGAATTCTGCAGAGAAGTTAAAGTTCTAGCATTTAACAACTGCCTACACTGCAAAGCAACCCAAAAAGGATGGTGGACTTTTCAGAAGGAGTCCAAAAGAGAGTCTGACAATAAATTAAATGTTTCAATATTGGTGTGTTTCATAGATGGAGAGAAAACATTGCTAATAATTTAGCCTTCTACAAACCTCAGCGAAAAGCTCGCAGCTTCGGCTATTTCATGTTCATGCTAACGTTAACTAGAGCCTAGAATAAGTGTGTCCTTTGCCTCACTCCCCGCCACTACAGATGAACTTGCCCTGAGGAGAGCGGGCAGCAGCTCTGGAGACGGACCACCTGTCAGCCTTTGTGCAGCCCAAATCCAGCCAGCTCAGCCCCCAGCAACTGGATAGCCCCGACTCCCTGCTGGATCAGCAAACTTTCTGTTACTGCCATTACACAGGTTAGACCTGGCTGCTGACCACCAGCCTGCAATGACACTCGGGGCTGGGGGATGTGTGCTGATGTGTGCCAACCAAAGCTCCGTCTCCTGAGCTCCATTAGCAGTGTCCCGGTACATAGCATTAGCAGCCGGCTCCTCCTCAGCTGTATCCCGGCAGCAGCATTAGCAGTGTCCCGGTACATAGCATTAGCAGCCGGCTCCTCCTCAGCTGTATTCCGGCAGCAGCGTTAGCAGCAGAGAAGCCGGACTTGCTTGAGCTGGAAAACCGAAGATCAAGGACGCGGCGATGCAGCCCTGCCACGGCAGCCGCCCGTGGGCAAACAAATCAGTCTCCAGCGTGCCGCTGTCCAGCAACCTCGAATCTGTAGAGGAGGGGGGGGCAGACACGACTCGCGGCAGTATTTTGAATTTGAGTGCAGTTTTGGCCACATTCTTACATACAGCGCCTTTAAATAAATCCATGTATGGGAAACTCTGGGTTACAATATGAAGCCCCGTCTGTGGTGGGAGGGACATAGGACATATGAATTCTGCAGTTGTTTTTTTTCCCGCTTTACCACATTTCTGCCGACTCCAGCTTTTACGGCAGTTAGGAAACACAGGAAATACTCACATAATCAGTTCATTGTTTAATTTGGCATAATAACTAATATTTTGGGAAACGTTCATTCATTAAATTTTACCAATCTGCGTGTCCCACAGCCATCCATCGGGATCTTGAACAAGGCGTAGTCAGACGTCACTCTCTGAGGTGTGCAGGTGGAGTTGCTGGCAGCGACAAGCAGAGCAGGGTTAAGAGGGGGGTCTGTGAGGGAGGCCGGCACAGAGAAGACAAAGTGGCGGTCGATAGTGCACTCTGGAGGAGGACACAAACACGCACACACAGTTATGTAAAGGTCAGATTAACAAAAGGTCAGAAATCTCAGGAGGCAATTGATAATGAGACCCAAGGTATCTTATACCCTTTTCCTGTTCTGTGTCACTGCCAGCTTGAATCATGCTATGCTGGCCCTCAATGTGCCTCTTCACACACATCCAGCAGCTGTAGCGCTTATATTTCCGTATCCAAAACAGTTCAACTGTACTCAGCTAAGTGGCGTGAAAATGCCAGTGGGAATGCAAACTGCAGCTTACCATCCATGGGGTAGTAGCAGGCGGAGGGGTGCTTGATAAAGCAGCAGCCCATAGAGAGACACTGTGGCTGGGATAGAGAGCCGCGTCCGCAGGGGAGACGCTGTTCGCTGGGAAGGTTGCACTCTAAGGGACAGCACGACAAATGTCAGCCGCATCAGTTAAAATAACTCTGAATGGCCGGGAGAAAACACCCTTTGGCAAATTGAATAGCCTTTCAGAGGTGTAAACATAAAAACCATTTACCTTGTCCAGGCCCTGGGACAACAACTGGACAGGAAAACTGAGCCTCCTGTCTCCCATTTGCTGTCATGAAGATGACGACGATGATGTACATTTTACCCTTTTAGAGAAAAATGTTTATACAAGAGTTAATGGGTACAGCAAATGGTCAATTATACAAAAGGTCATGTGCTCAGTGTGAAATCTGAGTCAATACTTGCCTGCACACTCATGTGGCAGCGCGAGTGTAACTGGAGACTCAAGCGGATTTTGCCATCTTTGCCTTTTCTTGCAGAATACCCACAGTGCTTTGGGGCATCCTGGAGGTTCATTTTGTTCCCTTTTATGTCTGAAAAAAGTACATGTAGAAAACATACAATAAGCTATTTTTGTGTAGACTTTAAATGGCACAATTATAGCCCTCAGCATGGCAAGGCACAGAGCCTAAGTGCAGCCCAGTCAAAACAAAAACCAAGCCTACCTTTCCCCCACCCCCATTCCACTGTACACCAGAGAGGCCCCCCTGAACCCTGCTAAAATTCAACTCATGCAGAGCTGATGGCAACCATATGCACCTGGAACATACACACCAACATACATGAGCACACACACACACACACACACACACCTTTAACAACAATTCCAGAGATGGGACCAGAGGCGAGCTCCACAATCATCTGATCGGAGGAGCAGATGACTCTAGGCTTTGGGACAACAGGCGGGTTGGCATTGCCCTTGGTGGTACTGGGTGGAGTAGGGGGCACAGATGGGGTAACTGGTGCAGGAGTTTCAGGAGTCATTTGATACGAACATTGCAGGTCCAGAATCCTATACTGCGCCATGGAAAGGTCCCAAAATCTCAGAGGTAAGGAAATGGTCGTGGGAGTCTGAAGAGAACGAGAGATCAATAAAGTCAGTATGAACCACCACGCATGGTTTCCAACTGAGCTGCTTAAAAATAGAGACTGCAAAAAAAACAGAGTTCTCACCAGTTGGGTTACACAGAACATAAAAAAACTCCACCCAGAACACATGCATGCAGAGCAAATGCAGCATTGAGTCCATATGGGATTAATCGTAAATATGAGCTGGTGACTGAGAAAAACTGCTCCTCTGTTCTATATACAAGCAGGAGGGTGTCAAAAATCACTACAACCCAAGTGGTGCAAACCACCAGTATTGTAAATCCAGTATATTTTGTTCTTTGTGGTGAAACTGTATTGCATTAATGCATATTGAATATTTAATTACAGATTTAAGAAACACTTTAGTAAAATGGAAGGAATCTGTCAGTCCTTCAATTTTCTCAACAACCATTCCATCTAATCGACTCACACTTGGTCGGTGAATTGCAAAGAACCCAATGAAGTGTAGTGACAACTGCGAGCTCTTCAAATCTATAGTACATATCCATTAGTAGTGCTTCATGTACACACTGTGTAGTGTATTGAGAGGGGACCCCTATTATTTGTAGCCTCTTTTACACTGCCTCTTCAAGGCCGGAATTTCACACCGTTATGTGGCCTCACTGTCCTGTATAAAAGGTACAATCATGGAATGGGGGAACAGAGCTGTCTCGTCTTTGAGTTGCCATCAGATGTCGTTAACAGTGCCAGAACAATGCCTGTATTAACGGAACAGCTGGCAGGTGCAACGTTTTTGATGATGTGTTATGCATGCGATCCAACGCGGGAGATTTAAAAAGTACCTGGTAGCAGCTAGCAGCTAACTCAAAGAAGAAAAAACAGCGGCCTAAAATGTCTGGGAAAATAATGAGGTCCAAGAGCTTCTTAGCCTCTGAGCAGAGGATGAAATCGGCCACCATATTAACAGGAGGCAGTAAATGGTTGTTAATGCCATGTTTTGCCATTGCTTTATTGAGAAAGCTTTGCCGTCACATTTGTTACATGTCACACTAGAGGCCGACGCTGTTGTGTTACATGTCATGCCTGTCACACCTCTTTTGATTCTGCAATGCCGGCATGCTGTCTAAAATCACACACTGAAACAACACGATGCCGCCGTCATTTGGTTCTGTGTGAAAATGGAAAGTGGGCATGAAGAGGGGACCTCGTGGCAGCACTATAGTGCAATCTCTGTGTAAAAGGGCTTGTTACACTGCTGAACGTCATGCTGTGTACAGCTCACTCACCGTCGCTCATTACAGTACACTCGGCACCAGATGAAGGAAGAGAGATTGGAGAGTTTACATGTTTACATTGTCATTATTATAGTACTGATTAGCTGCTGTAATTACAGGTCTACCGATACTGACAACGTGCATATTTTTTTTACATGGACCAAACTCCCTAAACTTCAGTACTCAGACCCTCATCAAAGGGCAGACACATTGTCAATAAAGTGATTACACATGACAGATAAGGTGCAGGATTCTGTCTTTTCCTTCCAAGTCAAGAGCTTTTGATCATACACACCTGTCACCCAGACTTCATGGTGTCCAAGAACCTCTATGTTACTGTATATCATGATTTAAAAGGCTTACACAACGCAATTTCATGGGGGCTTTAAATTTAAGAGTGTTCCAACAAGTTCATCCAGTCATCAGATAAATAAACTACGTCAAAGAGATACAATCTCATAATTTCTTTACAAACAGGGGCACTAGTAAAATAGAGCAATTACATAAAGATGACACATTTGCAGGCAGTGACGAGGCATTATTGAAGTTCTCACCCGTTGTTGGCTGTGGCAGGCAGGCAGAGGAGAGTGAAGAATTACCCCAGAGCCCTCAGCCATCTGCAGCATGTACCCACACAGTGGAGATACAGCGGAGACAAACAGCCATGTCTTCATTTGGTCTGATGTTAGAAACAAGGATTGTTTGATCTTCGATATCATTAAAAGAATCAATACTCTTCAATTTTAGAAGTAAAAATAGATCTAGGTACACTGATGGTGTGTCTCTGAGACAATTACCATATTGTGGATATCAGTATTGTTCTTCATCTGGGACTGGCAACAATATACTGTTTAAACATTAATGCACTTTTACTTTAAGATGCTTGGATAAAGTAAAATTAAAAGAACCAACAAGTAAAATAGTCATCATCAGAACGTCTAGGTTCTGAGTTTGCAATTAGAAGTCTGTTAAAAGACAAAATACAGTTTACACGGAGGAATTAAAACAGTTTCTACACTTCATTACAGAATACAAATGTATAAAAATACGTATATGCACACTACACTGTTTTCAAGCAGGAAAAATGGCTCTCTGGTCAACGTTCTCAAACTACAGCTAAACAGTACATTAAAATATGTTTCTGAAAACATCTGAGGCAAGTAAAAGGCAATGCAGTAACAGAGTCCTGATTCATATTTGATCAGCGCTGCTTAGTTTGACAACTTTGCCTGAATTTTGTGGATCTGGCAAGTTGCATTGGACGGAGCGGAGACCAGTGATGCTGCTATGTCAATCATCTGAACAAACCTGCCCCACATTAGATAAATGGTTGTGATTGGCCTTCCCAAGATCTGGCTGGGTTGAAAACTGTTTGAGTGGGAGGGGAACCAGACACATCTGCCAGAACAAACAAAACCGGAGCTCACAGATTTGTCTGGTTCCCAGGCTAGATATTTGTCTCTCTTTGAAGAACGTGAAAAGCCACACTTCTTACTAACACAAAGAGCTCTTATGTTTACACAAACACTGACCTCTGACCTGGATGGAGTCTGGGTGAGCAAAAGGCAGAAAGACAACCATCTTCCCCTTCAGACACTGGAGATAGGGGACCTGTGGAGTGGGTCCAGCTGTGGTGGTAGAAACGGTGGTAGCAGGAGTTGTGGTAGTGGTGGTGGTTGAAGGCTTTGTGGGGGTCACTGGTGGCTGAGTCTCTGGATACTGGGGCATAGGAGGGTAAGGTGGAGGGTAGTGTGGCGGGTAAAGAGGATGATAATAGGAATAATAGTGGTAATAGGGATGAAGGTAGTGGCTACAAATGGTGTGAGCGTATGGGGGGCAGGCGGCTTGTGGAGTCACTAGTTCCTGAGTTTCGTGAGGACTAACCTGAGCTTTCTTTTTGGCAGGCAGTGGAGGTGTGGGTGGTGAGAAGTAAATGGGTCTTTGGGGATGAACGTGGCCAATGGGATGGCTGGGACTGTCAGGCTGTTTGGGAACCACTGACTTGGTGGTAGTTGTGGTGGTAGGAGGTGGAGGAGAGGGAGATGGAGCAATACCACGATGAGTAAGAAGTGAAGTGGAAGCAGGCTGCACCCCAAGACCAGGGAGGGGCCATTCATAGTGAGAAGCAGGGGGATAAAATGGACCACCTATGTACTGTGGACCTATAGGTTGTTTTGGTGGAGAGGGAGGAGGTGACGGTGGGCTGGGAGGGAGAGGAGCAGGTGCTTGAGTCACTGGTGCTGCAGCTGGTACAGGATAGTAAGGCATCTGAAAATAATACTGAGAGTAATAAGGATTTGCTGGAGGTTTGGGTGGGTGGGTAGCTGGAGAAATAGTAGTGGTAGTAGTACTTTTTGTAGCAGAGGTTGGAGCTGGGTAGTAGAAAGGCACATAAGGGTAATGGACACCAGATGCATGTTGTGAAGGGCCAACAGGCAATTTAGGAACTTGATAGAGAGAACTTTCCTGCACTACGTTAAGATCTGGGTTGGATGTAGCTTGTAGCAGTGCTGGAGGCTGGTAAGGAGAGGAAGGGTATTTTTGGTGCTCTTCAGGAGAAGAGGGCAGCTTGCCAGGCCCTGTGGGGTAGAGGAACCCCTGGGGCTGCTGGGGCTGGGTCCCAGGAGGACTGCCAGGAGTGGGTCGAGGTGGGCGGGCAGGTTGTGGGCCAGGAGGGTAGACCTGGGGAAGCTGGGGGTGCTGGAGTCCAGGATAAGGGTAGTGGGGGTAGTTAGGAACCTGAGCAATATGCTCCTGAGTTGGAGGTTGAGGTGGGGGAGGAGGAGGGGAGGTGGGTGCAGGATCTGGGACAGAGGGGATCTGAGGGTCAACTGGTGACGAAGGAGGAGAGGGGACGTAGGGGAACTGAGGATTGGCTGGACAGGAGAGAATGTATTCCTGATCATCTGATATATAATGGAGGTGAAAACCATCCTGAAAAGAAGCCCAACATAAAATTATTATTGGTACAAGCCAGCAGCCCACCACAGTAAGCCATTCAAGTTTAATAACTTACTCTGCTAGTGATACAAGGAGCACCGTAGGAGATGAAGAAGGCAAGTTCCCCAGAATGGGAGGGGACACGGTACGCACACTCTTCGGATACAAACTGAGCCCAGCCTCCATTCACTGTGAAGAGGTTTGCACATGTTTTTGTAGTCAGTCTTATACAGTTGATAATGGTCCTGATTCAGAGTTGAAGAGACCACTGAGGTAGCCTATCTATTTCAGAGAGTTTACATTATGCAGTTGAAAAACACATTTTTAGACCCTTTTTTTTTAAGACTCAGGATGTTTAAATTTCACAATTTTCAGGCCAACAAAATAAATAATTAAAGGATCAGGATCATGTTAGGAAATAAAACAGTGACAATTTGTTTTACCAGTCCATAATTTCCTAGGAGGTGCTCTGGAAAGAACTGTATACTACTAATTACAGGGAAATAGTTTATATTTTAGTTTAATGTTTAGTAAACAACTCAATAAAACTTGCAGACAATATAATGTATCTACTAAGTGAATAAATAAAACATAAAATGTCAAATATTTATATATATTTTATACATTGTACTGTACATTTGTGTATAGATGCATACAAATAATGTATATTAAATAGCTGTAATTATTTCCTGTAATATGCTGCCCAGAGAATGACACTTTTAAATACAAGTAAGGATGACATCCACTCTGTATTGCAGTTAAAAAGAGAATAATGGTCTACTGGGGGAGGCTGATAGAGGGTAAAGAAACCCTCTATCACCTCTGACACACACAAAAGCTGGTTAAAACTAACTGTTGAATAGAGGCTAAAAGATCAGTTTATACAAAAGTGGCAAAGTGAGCTCAGAAGTATGACATCATGCGATGTACAGTGGTGGAAAAAAGTTTTCGGACACCCCATGCATTTGTGAAATATTGCATTAAGAATCATTCTTAGGTCTTCAAGTGCAATTTCTTTTAGTACAGTCACAGCCAAAATACTAAATAAATCCTAAAAAAGCCATTAAAAACTTAAAATTGATTGGTTCCATAAAAATACATAAGAAATTTTGAGTATTGGGTCATTTTGGTACCAGTGATGAAAGTCGTTCTTTTTATTAAAAGACACAATTTTTGTTGCCAAGCTTCGTGTCTACATAAAGCCAGCACATTTGAAAGTTCTTCAGACACAAAAATGGCTAAAACAAGGAACCTAACGCAGGAAACACGCCTGAAGATAAAGATTCTCAGCCAGGAAGGGTACAGCTGCCGCCAGATAGCCAGGAAGTGCAGATGCAGTCCTTCAGCAGTTGGATACACTCTGCAGAAATACAGACGAACCAACAGCTTGGAAGACAAACCAAGATCTGGGCGTCCAAGGGTTTCTTCAGCAAGAAATGGCCGCATCCTGATCCGCATGTGCAGGCAAAACCGCCGAATGACATCACAGGAGCTTCAGCAGCAGTGGTCAAACCAAACTGGTGTCCAGTGTTCACTGTACGTGGCCGACTTTTAGATCATGGCTTAAGGTCCTACAAGGCTATCAAGAAGCCCCTGATCAATGAGAGACAGAGGTTAGCCCGGCGTCGTTGGGCCCAGGCACACAAGAACTGGACAGCCAGGAAATGGAAGAAGATTTTGTGGTCAGATGAGTCCAGTTTCCAGCTTTATCTTCCTCCTACTAATGTGAGGATACGCAGAAGGCCAGGCGAAGCATTATCTCCAGCATGTACAGTACCTACTGTCAAGCATGGTGGAGGCAGTATCATGGTTTGGGGATGCATGAGTGCTGCTGGTGTTGGTCATCTCACTGTCTGTGATGGCACATTGAACTCTACCAAGTATTGTACCATTCTCGAAACCCACATGCTCCCTTCTGCGCGTGCACTGTTCCGTCGAGGTAAAAACTGGATGTTTCAACAAGATAATGCCCCTTGCCACACATCCAAGGCCAGTAGAACTTAGCTGCAGGAGCACAGTATCCAGGTCTTAGAGTGGGCAGCTCAATCCCCGGACATGAGCCCCATTGAAAATCTGTGGTGGATTATCAAAAGGTCTGTTTCAAAGCATAAACCAAAGAATTTAGAAGAATTAAAAGCAGTAATTCAAGAAGAATGGGACAAGATTACCCCTCAACAGTGTGAAAGGCTAGTGGGGAACATGCCAGCCAGGATTAGAGCTCTACTACGTGCCAATGGCAGGACTACTAAATATTAATTTGATGATGTGATGGTTTATTTATTTTTTGTTCAGTTTTGAACATATTCTCTGTTATTTGTTGACTATGATACCGACAATGTTGAGAACTGACATATTGAAACTGTCAAGAATTTAGTTTTGTTAGTTTTTCTTGTAAACAATAAACAAAAAATATAATTTGTATTTGTTTGTATCTGTCTAATGCAGCCACACCTTTTGAAACACAAAAAAGATTTTTCCACAAATATTTCATGATAATATTTGAGATTGTGTAAAATTTTAAGGGTGTCCGAAAACTTTTTTCCACCACTGTATATGCCAAAATCAAACAAGAGTTTAAACTGGAGAGGTATTTGTTGCATGAAAACCAAAAAGTACAGACAGGTTATTTGTAATTTTAGAGAAAACAACACCAGAATTAATAAGGTCACTGGAAGATATAAAGGGCTGGACAGAAACCAGAGGATCTGCAACCTCTGTGATGACAATTGTGCGGGAGATGACTATCATATTTTGTTTGAATGTCAGAATGTAAGTTTAATGACTTACAGAGAAATGTGTTTGCCAAAGTATTATATAAACCGTGTATGTTTAAATTAATTTTGTTATTGCGATCAGATAAACCAAAAGTAATTAAACTGGGTGCTTTTTTGAAGAATGTCCTTCCTTTGTTTATGTTGTTATGTTATGCACTGTATCCTTTTAATTGTTTTATATGTGTAAATAAAGACACAAACAAACGATCCTGAAAAACCTCTGGAAAACCACAACAAATTAACACACCTATTCAACACAATTAACTAATCTATTAACTCATCAGTAACTAAATAACAGCCTCAGAGCTTCAGTACACATAGTGTCAGATTACACACTTTATTTCTTTCCAGGAAATGTCTTTAAAATGTCTTAGGAAATTGCTGACCCTTCATGTTTTTTTTCCATGATAAAGATCTAAGTGCTGTTTCAAAGCCCTCTCCGTGTTGCCAGGAATATAATTCTGGTGGGAATATACTGCGATAGATAATGACCCTTTACATATTCCCTCATTTTGTTGGCATCATCATAGTCACATTTAAATACTCTGAATCTAAATACACAGCGTTAAAAGATACCGTTATAAATCTCACAAAAAATTACAATGTACCAGTGTAGAAACTGATAACAGCAGAATGTTAACTCTACACTGTCCCTCGTCTGATTTAAATCTAGATTTTAAGTATTGTTCAGCTTAACTTGGATTTCCAAATACAAAATATATTATGAACAAATTAATTAAAAGGTCCTATATGTGACATTCAGAGCATTAACACAGCAAACCACTATTTGCTATTTAAAGAAACACTGAAGTGAAGGCGTCCTGAGCAGAGAATGAAGTCACGCTCCCTCTGTAATCTGAGCTTGTCTGTGGTTTGTTGTGGTAAACCGGTCCAGCCACGGTGTTCATGTTTGTATCCCCCCGGCTAGATAATAACTGCTGCTTTGCACTGTGGTCATATGGTGGTTACGGCTAATATCATTACTGAAGCTTAGTGCCCACCCTTCAGTTTTGCCCACTGGCTCTGTCAGCACTTTTGTCATTGTTAAGTGTTGTTTATGGAGGTGGCACCATTCTAGCTGCCAGCTCAGCCTCCTCCATGTTGGAACTGTGTCCAGACAACTCATTTGCTCCGAATTTCACACTGAGTTGATTTATAAGATTCACACTGTACTCTACATGGATTCTTTTATACTAAAGATATATAGTACAAATGATTTCAGAAAAAAACTCAGCATTAATCCCCATTTAAAACAAACATACCTATGACTCCTAGTATTTGTATATTCTGCTCCTGCCCTGGTATCTGCACTGCCATGCCATAGGGGGAGCAGAAGACTGAGGGGGCAGAGTGGGAGAGAGAGGGGACAGGAGTGGGCAGCTGCACCGGGCAGGAGAGCTTCAGTGGGCTGCCCCACCACAACAGGGGCAGCACATAACTTCCATTCTGACAGAAAGAAAAACAAAGGGGTGATGAACACAAGAATAACTACTGGTGGAGATATAATGCAGGTGCTGCGGCTGATACCTCCTGTGTAATGTAACAGGCATCATAAGGCACCATCATCTCAAGGTCACTCCATGACGTCCTCACTGAGTAACCACAGTATGGAGGTAACTGGAACAGGGAGATGGGAGAGGCTCCCTCTGTCAAGAGAAAATGATGAACAGCAATTAACAATTCTGATACCTGATTAATGGGGTAAGCACATTAAGCTTAAATACAAAAAAATCAATATTAATATTTGAGCTTCTTAAGTGTGAGGAATGTTTTATTTCTAAGTTTTTGATCACTATATTTTGAGTTTTAGATCGTTACTTGCAAAAAAGTAGCAATTTCGAGGACTTTTATCTTGTGCTCCGGGAAATTTTGACCGGCAGTTCTAATTTTCTGCCATTTTACAGCATAAACAAACAATTAATTGAGAGAAAAATCAAAATCAAATTAAGGGCTACTTGCAGCCCTAGCTAATCTAAAGATCAATAGTACACTTCAGGTTTCCAACCCAAAGTCTTTAATGTCATGCAGGTTTTAAATTACCTGTATAAAACCTGACACTGCTGCTGTAATCATTCCTGCAGCATCAAACAGATGGCAAATACAGACTCTGTAAATTTGCATTTACTCTCCTTTGTTACGTGAAATAAAAGCCTCTAGTTTCTGCACTGAAACTGTGTGCCCCTCATTTGTCTTCAAGACATCCTCTGCAACAAGCCTGACCCACAACACCGAAACAGCACCAGTCCAAACACTGCTGCTACCTATATAAATAGTATCATACGTCTTACCTCTGTCCACTAACAGGTGTGCAAGTCCTTCTCCAGAGGCAGTGAAGGTCATGACTCTATCACCACACTGCACCAAAGTCCTCATTGCCAGCCACTCAGAGAAATGTGGACTGGAGTCAGACGATGGGCCCATAACCATCCCCTGGACTCCATGAAAACCTAAAGGATATATAACAGTTAACAATAGGGACCAGGTTGGTTTAACCTTTATCTCTATAAACTCTTATCTGCATTCCAAAAGGCGATGAGTTTAGAGATTGAGTTACCCTGTACTTCTCCATGTCAAATCACCCGTGCACAGTGGTGAAGGATGTATTTAAAACACTTACTCAAATAAAAAGAGAAATGGCACAGTATAGAAATACTCTATAAGAAGTAGATGTCCAGCAGTCAAAATGTACAAGCACAGAAACGGTGTTAACATGCGAGCACTAGCAGTATAATGTAGCTGGTCAAGGTGGAGCTGATTTTAACTACTTCATGTAATTTTCATAGTTTAATCTGTAACAATGGATCATATTTTATAAACTGATCATATGTTTTCTGAGTAAAATTGTGATTTGCAAAGTAACTTATAACCAAAGCTCTTAATTAAATGTTAAGAGTCACTACGTAAGTTAAGTACAGCATGACTAAACATAACTAGTTACTTTCCACTACTGTGACTGCCAATTACTTCA